CTGAATGGCCAACAGAACAACAACGATTTAACTGGGCTTGAGAAAACAAAAATCAACAAACCATAGAGAACAGATTCATGAACAGCAATACACAAAGACATATGTGCGTGCGTGTGTGTGTGTGTGTATTCATGTGTATCAATAAGTTAAGGGAGAGATATGGTGATTTGCCCTAAATGTTTACCTATCACACTCACCTTTGTCCTGAAACATCCCACCTCCACACCCAGCTCCTGGTTAATAAACATAACTTAGTTGGAGTCCCTCGACCTGTAAAATCTATTCACCAAAAACAAACCCACAGTTTGTCTCCCAGCTCCTTTTGAAGTCCCTAGCGCCCCGGTTACATTCCGTCTATGGAAAACATCTGTGGCTCAGTCAGTCGTCATCCTCTGAGATAGACCAGAGTGCACTTTCCTTTCTCTAAAGGGGTTTTTAAGTCCTACTTGGAAAATTAGTGAAAATTGTAAATCTGTTTGCAAATCTGGTCATGTCTAACTCTGAGATTAGGGCAAAGATTCCAATTTAAAACTAAAAGCGTGACAACGCCAGTTAAGCGTGTCCTCAGGCAGTGCCAGCAGGCCCTGCCGTCACCTCCCCGGGCGGTGGATTTATTACAGGCACCCGACTTGTTCCCCATCAGACACCCCTGGAGTATTTACTTGAGACAGCAGGGTTCAGGCTGCACTTCCGTTGCAGACCAATATATTATTATAAATGGAGCTAAACTGTTTCCTTTCCCTAAGTGCTCTGAAGTTCAGATTTCAGATATCAGCACAGGGCCGAGCTCCCTACACGGGACTCTAAGGGCTGTCCAATTTCAAAAGCAACGAGGAAAAGCAGCATCAGACCATGCTTGTTTTTATTTCTCTTGGTCTTCTCAAAAGGAGATGGGGAGATCCACTTTGGAAATCAAACATGACACCCTAAAGAGCGCAGTCTAAAGGTATTCTTTAGGGCACGCTGTGCTGAGCACGGCAAAGTTCAGCAGGCTAACACAAACTTCATCTTTAGGAGAAGCACAGAGCTGGGCAATCAGATCTTTGTCTTCTAGAACAGTGATACCAATTTCTGCTCTTTATCACTGATAATAGCTACAGGGACCTAATGTAGATTTTAAAGGGTACATTCCTTATAAGTCACAAGGCCAGTGCAATTATTTAATATGTTAATAGTGATTCGCTTTGAGGCCCTGAAGAAAAACAGCTTTTAAAAGAAATAGAAAAGAAATGAACAGAGTATTTCCACCTTCTTTTCTTCCCTTCCCGTATTTATGAGGTGAGGCAGAAGCATGGCATCCAAGTGGGGAGAAGAGGCACGGGAGGCCATGGCAGGGGGCAGCGGCTAGGAGGAGTGTCCGCCAGGCAGAGTTAGACTCCAAGGGGAGAAATGACAGGTTCCCATCAAGGCTTCTTACAGCTGGAGAACCATAGCCAAGTAGCTGCCATAATCTAATCTCAATGTCTCCTTTTGCAAGAATAGCTAATATTTGCTTCTCAGGGTTATTAAGATTAAAGAAAAAAATTTCCCTTGTTGCTACTCCCCAATCAATATGTTTGTTATTCATCTTACAATTGCAATTATAGATACACCAATGTGTGGGAAAAGACTGAGCAGGACTAGAAGGAGATTTCAGAAACTTCATGGGAAATAGAATGAAAATCCAAGCATAGTTTTTCCACCCTATACCGATTTACTAAACTTTCTAAAGGTCCCTCACATACATCAAGTTTAAAATTTCTGAACCATAATGAAGTTATCTTTTAATTCCATTTTCTCAAGCTTTTTGAACTACTCTTATACGCCAAAATGTACAAAAACTTGTTTTTTATATTAGCATTTTTTGCTTTTCAGAGTTTTCCTCAATAATGAGCATGTATTACTTTTTTAATTCACAAGAAACACACATGCATTATTAAATGCAAGTGAGACAGCTAAATTTACAATGTGTTTTGCTATTATTATGCAAAATATTAATAAACGTACTTTAAAAGGTATCATTGTGAGTCTCACCTCCTTTGTTTAATTTTCTATGTGTTTTTTAAAATATCAACTTCTTTACTTGAAAGACAGAGATCCTCCATCTACTGCTTTACTTCCCAGATGGCTGCAACATGCAGGGGTGTGCCAAGCCAGAAGCCAAACCCAAAAACCTCACCCAGGTCTCCCAATAATTGGGCCATCTTCAACTGCTTTTTCCAGGCCACCTGCCAAAGTGGAGCAGCCGAGACACAAGTCGGTATCTACAGGGGATGCCAACATTGCAGCAGCAGCTTTACTCACTGTGCTCCAGCACCAGTCCTGGTCTTGTATTTCTTTGTTTGAGAGACAGAGTTCTCCCAGTTCACTCCCCAAATGCCCGGAGGGACAAAGGCTAAAGCTGGAAGCAGGAGCACGAGTTAGCTCTCCCAAAGGGATGGCAAGAACTCGAGGAACCCAGTTACTTGAACCTCCAGAGCATTAGCAGGCAGTTGGAGTCAGGAACTGGAGATGGAATTGGAAATAAAACCAGGCATTCCATATAGAATGTGGGTTAAATGACCACTGAGCTGAATGCTCACGCCCTTATCTCCTTCATTGCTTTTTAAAGGTTGAGTGATCTACACGCTGATCTGAAAGGCACTGTGAGAGAGAGTTAGAGATCTTCCAATCACACTCTCACTCCAAAAATGCCTACAGCCTCAGGGGCTAGGCCTCGGTGAAACCAGGCCCAGAAACTATCGGGATCTCCCAGGTCGAGAGCAAGAATATGGGTTCCTGTGGGTTCTTGAGTCGTCATCTGCTGCCTCCCAGGCCTGGCAGGAAGCTGAACCTGAAGCACGCGCTGTCTGTCGTGGTTGCACGCAGGAGTCCTCAGCAGCGTAAGCCACCCCAGGACAACACCTGCTCCTCTCCTCTCTATTAAAGACACACTGCACACACACCTGAGCAAAATGACCTGAGGAAAGCGACTCATTGGCTAAAACTAACACCCATGTAAACTCAAGCCAAATGCTCACATTAAGGTAGTACATTTTTTAAAAAAAAAAACGCATATTCTTTTAAAAATCAGGCTTACCTACAAATGACACGGAGCTGTGGGCAGTAACTTCAGATTAAAATCACAGCTCCCCAGGTCAGGCAGAGGAATAGGCAAGCGATGACCTTCACACTAACAACATACCCACATGGAGAGCTGAGTGTATTGAGATACCGTCCAAGTGGTCTCACCCCCAGCAGGAACAGTGCTGTACATAAAGGCTGTAATGCTCAGGTTCCAGTTCTCCCAGTGACCTTGCAAAGTAAGTTAAGGAAAGACGACTCTGGCTATCCCTCTCTCACACACTTATTTGGAGATTGAGATTGCTTATGTGTAATTGATTTGGAAACTGTTAAGTAATATGCAAGAGGCGGCCAGAGATTAGGGGACTTTCAGATCCGTTCTCAACAGCTGCAGGAACCATCCCATGAGAAGCATGTCATAGGTGAAGAACACTGCGTGAGGTAGCAGTGAATCACACAGTGAGACAGTCACTGCCCGAGGATCTTCCTGCAGGCAAGAACCAGAGAGTAGCACAGCAACCTCAACTCTTGCTCCAAGTTCCATACTGGGGCGCAGGCTCAAGCCTCAGCTGCTCGTCTTCCAATCCAGCTGCTTGCTAATGCATCTGCTGAAGTGCCTGAGTCCCTGTCATCCACGTGGGAGACCTGCATGGAACTCCCGGTTCCTGGCTCGGCCTGGCCCAACTTCATTTGGGGGGGGATGAACTAGTGAATGGAAGATCTCTAATTCTCTCAATCTTTCCTTCAAATAAATTTTTTTTAATTTAAATTAATTTGTTTCTGTGAGAGCAAAATACTAAGCTTAGATAAACAGTAGGGATATAACATTGCAGACAGCAGGTGAATATGGCAAGACCCTTTCAGCTAACTGCATTGAAATGAGAAAACACTTAATGAAATAATGACTTACAGAGTTAGAGTATTCTCTGACTTTCTAAAAGAAAAAGTTTAAGATCTAGCCACCACTAACACCCACTCCCCTCCCAAAGCTCCTCACATTGTACCTGGAGCTGTGGATTCTCTGAAAGTCCCCAATTAACCAGGAATTAACTCTTATCACAAAAGCTGAGCCTAAACCCCTAGCTCTTCCTGGCTCCAAAAACAATTTATGAGCAGACTTCTCCAGGGAGACAGGAGTGGGCTAAACTGAATCATCAGGAGCTACAGACAATAGGAAAATAAATCTTCCATTCTAGCTGCCTGCTGGTGTACCTGGGAAGGCAGCGGAGGAGGCCCCAAGTGCTTGGGCCAGGGCGTGCAGGTGGGAGATGGAAAGGAAGCTGCTGGCTCCAGCCCGCCCCAGCCCTGGCCATGGTGACCATTTGGGGAGTGGGCTGGCAGATGGAAGATCTCTCTAACTCTGCCTTTCAAATACATTAAATAAATCAGAGGGCACTACCTGCATCTGGTACAGGAGAAAATCAGAAGAACATTTTTTTTTTTAATGCAGCAAAGAACATAAAGCCGCTCCAGCTAAGCCCCACAGTCTTGTTCAACCTGACCACAGCTCAGTTATTCCTGCCAAAGAACCAACAACTGGCAAGTGGAGAAAAAGGTCTCCTTGTTGGGGCAAGCTGTTGCTCAGAAGAAACTAAATTCAAAACTAGGAAACATGTTCACATTCCTAAAAGCTTATATAAACAGGGAGAGTTTGTAGAAGTTACACTAGTCAGTTGATTTGGGTGATTTAGTAACTCTGCTGAAGGATCCTAGAAACTGTTTAGCACATTTGGAGCCATAAACACTTAGAATTCAAACAATGCAGCTTTCTAAAATTTAGCAGTCTCTTAAAACCAAAACAAAACAAAAAAAAATGAGTGGCATGCTCTTGTGAAGAAGTTTATGATTCATAGAAAGACCCAAAACGTTTACTTCAGAAGACTTGCATAAAATATGCATCCAATAATCACAACATAGACACCAGGACATCAGCATAATTCTTGTTTTCTAGCAATTACCGAGCATAAAATAGCAGTCTCCTTGGTGAAGCGGTATTGCCAGGCCGGGCGTCTCTATGTCCCATGAGATCTTGAAGCCAACGTGCCAAATGTCAGGATCTCTGCCTTCGAGATTGGAATCCTCATCGCTTTCCTCATCAGAACCTGCCCGGAGAGTAGAAAGCAATGACAGTGATCAGAAAGGAGACGCTGAACCTGTTTATTTTATAAGAATTACATTACAAACAACGGATACTTTATTAAATATGGATGTTAAGAGACATCTCTCTTTTTTATCATTCTCTTTGTCTGGAATGTCAGGATATTCTAGAATATTTTTGTTGTCATTTTTTTTTCATTAGGAAACCTTAAGTAAGACAACGAGGAAACAACCACCGATACAGAAAAATGAAAAATGAGCTTAATTCTATAGCAAGCAAATACTTAGAAAATATGATTGAAACACCTCATTTTAAGGAACATATCAAAGCTCAATTACAAAATCGTTCGAAAACCAAGCAAAACAGAAAATGTATAGAGGAAGCTGTTAAAAGAATTCTCTGGAAAAAATAGGCCCAGAAAGTTTCAAAGAACTATACTAAACGGTTGAAGAATGGGAATTTCAGTACATTTTTATTCGATTGAGAACAATGAAAGGGAAATTTCAAAATTCTTTCCAGGAAGATATAGTATGTATTAAAATAACAAAAAAACTTTTTAAACTATACCTATGTAACACAAAGCCACATCTGAAAATCAATGTAAAATTTCTAAATATCAAAAACAGAATCAAAAAATATTGCAAAATAACATTCCTTGACCAACTAGATTTTATCCTAGGAACACAAATATAGTTCAACATACAAAACATTTATACTTAAAATTCATCATATATACCGATCAGAGCAAAAAATCATAAGTCACCTCTCTGGTGATGCAAAAATATTTATAAAACAACATCTTTTCATGATTTAAAACAACAAAAAAACTTAATAAAGAATGGCTATTTCCTCAATATGATAAAAGACCAATCAGTCTCAACCTTCAGTCCAAATAGGAAAACTTTAGAAACACTCCCAAAGTTAAGAATTAGACAAGAGGAGCAGGCCTTTAGCCTAGCAGTTAAAACACTGCTTAGAATATCTGTGTCTGTTTCAGAGTTCACAGTTCAGTTCCTATCTCTGGAACCTGACTCTAAGTCCCTGCTAACGCAGATCCTGGAAGGCTCAAGCCACTGGGGTCCTGCTGCCCTCGCTGAAGACCTGGCTTCAATTCCCAGCTCCCAGCTTCAGGCTCACCAAGCTGCAGCTGGTGCAGGCTTTGGGAAAGCAAACTAGTGGACAGGGAAGTACTCTGCCTTCTTCCGCCTCTCTCTCTCTCTCAAGTAAACAGTTTTTAAAAGGATTAGAAATGGACGATCTTCATCATCACAATGACTCCTCATTTTTCTGGGAGAGTGTAATGGTGTGCTACATAGTTATAATGAACAGAATACTCCCTAACTAAACAAAGTAAGATGTGTTAACTTTTTACTAAGGAAAAAAATTACAGATTATATTATTTATCTGCATATCAACAAGAAAAAATAGACACGAACAAACAGACAAATCAAAAACCATTGGTTACAAAAGTTAATCACAGGAATGAATAACTTCCAAAATATAAACTCAATTTAAAAAGGATCTAATAAAATTTTATATGTACATGGGCATATAAAATTTTTTTTAGAAGTAAATGTTATTGATAAGCCAGACTGTTTAGACGAATGAAGAGATATACTTTGTGTTTGAAAAGTGATACTCAACACCATGGTAAAGGCAGTTGTTCCTAAACTCACCATAAATTTGACACAATCACAATAAAGACTAACAGGTTTATTTTTTCAGTGAGCGGAACTGATAACTGGATGGCTGACTGTCTATCCTCATCTGTGGAGGAGACGATCCAAGCTTTCCAATGGATACCTGAACCTCATGGGGCAGGGAACCCTATGTGTGCTTGTTTTTTTCTTCTCCTACTTTTACATACCGATGATAAAGTTTAACTAAATCAAGTACAGTAAGTGATTAACAATAACGAACAGTAAAAGAGAAAAAGTACAATCATATAATAACAGGAATGTGAATGTAAGCTCTCCTCACTCAAAATATCTTATGGCTATTTCCCCCTTTTTATTTATGGAAAGAAAATCTGGTGCATCCACAGCGTCAGCAATGCTACTAGAACTTCCACTTGGGGCCATTAGAAGCACAACAAGGTGTTACTGGAACTCGAGCACTTCAATATAGCAACAGTTGGTCTGACAACTGAGAGGGCTACTAAGGGACTACCAGGCAGGTAGTATACTCAGGGTAGACACACCGGGATGGCATGGGACACCATGAGATGTCACAATGGCACCCAGAGAAAGGCCACACAATTTAAAATGTATAGATTGTTTACTTGTGTGATTTTCCAGTGAGATTTTTCAGATTATTGTCTACTAGGGTACCTGAAAACACTGACAGCGAGAAAGTAGATGAGCGGGGAGCATTGTACACATGAGAATATAAGCAAGCAAGAATCACCAAGGGAGTTCTCACCAATTGATAGCTTCCAGGCCAATAACCAAACAGAAAACGTGGCAAATACTTTGAAGCTAACTGTATAAAAATAAAATAATCTTATGAACAAAAAAAAGATAGTACAACTTACTTGTATAAGAAATATAAATCGAAAACACAATAATTCTGATTTGACAGGTCAAAGAGCTCTCAGAAGAGATCCTCCATCTACTAGGTCACTCCCCAGTCTTACTGCCCCGGGAAAAAACAGTGGCGGTAAGACCACAGCAAAATGTCAATCTCCTATTCTCTGTAGAGGACAATACCGTCATTCTTTTCACATTACAAAAGTATAAGTCCTTTGCCTTTCTAGAAACTGTCTTTTAAGATGATATTACGTGTATATATTCCTGTTACATTTACTGTGTATAGGCCCAGCATTGTGACTAGATTTTCCTAAAAATCATACAATATAATAAAAGCGCAAAGCCATTTAATCCCCAAAAAAGTTTTTAAGAAGAATCCTCTGGCACAAGGATCTCAAATGCCTTCTACTCGATTATGGCTGCTTTAAGCTCTGGGTGGGGAAGAGTTCAGAAACTTCCTCCAGAATTAATCAGAGGTGTGGCCAACAACCAGTGTCTGTCAGGGTCCACAGAGGGTTAGTGTCAGCTCCAGCCCCAGACAGTTGCTATCTATGTTTGATGGAACTCTATGGACAACTCTTCCTTATAGGAAACACACAGGTGCAAATTCCAGAATTTGCCAGTTTGTGGGTTCGGAACGAACTGAGGTGTGTAGTTTGATCTGCACGACAAATTTCCTTAACAAATTTCAACCTATTGCTAACTGATAAAAAGTACTCGGTATAAAAGTCCAAATTCCCAGTTACTCTGGACTAGTGAGTCAGTCACTAGTGCCCTTAGGTAAAAAAGCACTTATGACCCCTTGGGATGAGGTCCATGGTTCCTGCTCAGCAGGGTCCCCAACGGCCACTTTGCTGCACTTGTTTGTGTCACAGGCCCAGATCCCACAGCAAATTCCATGAACCTTGTTCTGTAGCCGGGCCGTACAGCCCATGGATAAATCATACCCATGACCTGCCTTTGTGAATAAAGTTTAACTAGAATACAGTCACACTCATTCATTTACATATTGTCCATGGCTGCTTTTCTACAGAACGGCCAGGTTGAGCAGAAGAGAATGCAGAAGGTAAGACCTAATGCAGCCAAAACGATTTGTAATCTTGCCGAGCCCTGTTCTAGAGATTTGACAGTTCTGATTTGATAGTGAAGAGTCTGGGGCTGGATAAAATAATAGTCATGTCAATAATGTCAATAATGTCAATAAAATAATGTCATGTCAATAACAGCTAATCGCCCAACATGACTAACAGTAGCACAGAACATAATAAACTAAGGCTAAGTGACTTGATAACCAAGCCGACTTAGCAGAAGACTACCTGTAATGAGAAATCCTGTGTTACATGTGATCCTCTAAGGAGGCTTTCGCTGTTTCATTCCAGGGAGCCCTAACTACAACCGATGTAGTTAATATCACACACACACACAACAGAAATAATTGAAGAAAGTTTTTCATGCATTCCTCCCTGGCAAAATCAACTACTTAACTTTAAAAAGCAGTTTGGGAAAATTCCAAAGACTATGGGGTATAGGTGCTTCTGATGCCACTGTGTGGGAATCTTTCGAGGCCAATAGGCTGGTGGACTGCTTCCCCCTCTAAATTTGATCCTGGCAAACTTCTCCATCTGGCAACGATGGAAGTTTGGCACGACAACCATGGACAGCAATCGCAGCCTGTGTTTCCTGGCCTCTCACAAATTCAGTGCACTAAAAAGTGCTCATTACAACAATGCTTGTTTTCCCCTTCCGGGCTATAGTGGGAGGAGGAAAGTTTATGTGTGATAAATGTTTTATTACTTAAGTATAGTGCTACTCACTTTCTCTGACAGAAACGTGTTATTATCTATAGCAACTGCAACTGATTACTGTTCACTCCTCTTATTCCGGAAACAAATAGAAGCAATAGGCCCCATGCCTGCCCTTAACTTCAGTAAAATTGAGAGGATTTAAGCATCTCGCTAAAGTCAGTGCATTCTCTGCTCCCTATAACCAAACTTAAAAACTAAAAGATGTGGCAAAACACCAAGGTTACTAAGGTTTCTTTTTTTTTTTTTAAAGATTCATTTTTATTGGAAAGGCAGATATACAGGAAGAAAAGATACAGGGAGAAAGATCTTCCATCTGCTGGTTCACTCCCCAAGTGACCACAATGGCCAAAACAGAGCCAATGCAAACCCAGAAGCCAGGAGCTTTCTCCAGGTCTCCCACGTGGGTGCAGGATCCAAAGGTTTAGGCCATCCTCGACTGCTTTCCCAGGCCACAAACAGGGAACTGGATGGGAACCAAAGCAGCCAGGATACGAACTGGAGCCCAAATGGGATCCTGGAGCATGCAAGGTGAGGATTTGGTCACTAGAATACCATGCCAATACTAAAGTTTTGAAGCTATGTTTATTATGTCCAAAACTTCTTTTAAAAATAACCAGCTTGATTTTTTTATGCTAACTAGTTTTGGGGGAAAATAATTGCATTGAATTAAC